CTAGTCGTGATGGCGCCTCTCCTGAAGACAAGGCCAGCCAACTAACCCAAATCCTTTCACTAACAATTATCAAACATAAATAAATAGAAGATACAACTTAATGGCATTTAAGATTTGTTAATTTCTACCCGACCGGGGTGTCACAAGTCACGAGCATCTAAAGGAAAACCTGAACACAACTACAGGGTCAATAATAATATATATGGAAAATTTTGGAAAATCAAAGACAACATCCGGTGCCGCGAACGCTGGCGGTCACCTTACTCAGCTAAAATAGCCATACCTTCAATCAGCTAAATAACCCGCTACCGGGTGTACAATACCTGCAACTGCACGCGAGGTGCAGGGAGTAAAGTGAGTACTTCCAACTCAGTGGTAATAAGAGTAAATAATAACTGAGCAGTAAGAAATCACGTAAAAGCATTCCATCATGCTACATAAGACAGTGCAAATCTTTGAGAAAAACAGTAAAACCGTGAAGATCCTTTAGAAAATATTTGACTCAGTTTAAAACCTCTTTTGAAAATATCTTTTTCTCAACAATCAAGCAAATGAATGCATAATCAGATAGTGCAAGTCCGCACATAAGTCAGCCCCTCGGGCACAGCACTCCACTAACAATTAACACCAGGGCGTCTGGTAAACAGTGCAAGAAGTAGCATGAATGCCAATGAAATGAGAGTGCTGAATGTCATGACACGTAGTATAAACAGGAACTGATGCATGAATGCAATGCAATGCACATGACCGCTGCGGCGCGCAGCCCGATCCATTTGGGTACGCGCGCTCGCTGTGGGGGTTCAGACTCCGGAGGGGCTCCTACAGCCCAAGCGCAATATCATCATAGTATCGCTGCGGCGTGCAGCCCGATCCATCCTCAGTCCAGAACATGCAAATGAGCCACTCGGGCAATGTCAAGTAATAGCTTTTAACTCAAAACATCAGAAAAATGCAATTTAAGTCTTTAAACTTTAGCAATATGACTGCACATTTCAAAACAGGGTTTAACTCAGGACTGAAATCATTTAATATGCAAAGTGTCATGAAAACAGTGATAATGATACCTAAAAGATTCAAATAATTGGCACGACGCCCAAATATAGCAATCAACCCAAATAATGATGATAACAAGTAGCTTCAGTCAAATACGCAGTATATTCATCTACCGGGGCGGACTAAGTCACAATCCCCAACGGTGCTCTACCCCACGCTCATACCTGGCGTGCAAGTCACAACAATACAGCACTATGATGTGCAAATCCGGGGTTTCAAACCCTCAGGATAACATTTACAAGTATTACTCACCTCGAACCGGCGAAAACTCTAGCCCGCGACGCCTTTGCCCCTCGAATCGGCCTCCACGCGCGATGAATCTAACCAAAACCAGAGCGAATACATCACAATATGCTAGGGGACAATACCCAATCGAAAACAATCGAAAATTAGCAAGAATCTCAAAACTAGCAAAACCCGAGCCCCGGGCCCGCTTCTCGAAAAATTACAAAACTCACATTACCGGATTCCTCATCTCGCCACGAGTTCATACATACCAATTTCCATGTTAAACCTATCAAAGTTCCATGTATTTAGGCCAAAGGACTTACCTCCAATCACACCTAGTCGAAATCCCCCTTCAATTCCGTCCAATAGCTCCCAAGCTCGCTTAAAAATGGTGGAAATAACATAACCCTCGCGGAACAAAATGAATATAAAACTCCTACTGGCTTCAGGGGTTTCCGCTTTTGCGGTCCCCACGCCCGCTTCCGCGCAACCGCTTCTGCGGTTGTTGTCCGCTTATGCGGAATTTCATTAAAACTCAAGGGCCGCTTCTGCGACGCAAATTTCCGCTTCTGCGGAAGCTCACCTCCTGGCCAAACCCGCTTCTGCGACCGCCTGTCCGCTTCTGCGGACTCGCTTAAGCGAAAAGTGTTCCGCTTTTGCGGAACTGCCCAACTCCACTCCAGACCGCTTTTGCGACCAAGATTATGCTTCTGCGGAATCGCTTATGCGGTCCATTTCCGCAGAGCGAACATACCAGATACCACAAGATCTGTCATTTCCTCAACTTGAATTTCATCCCGATAGCCATCCGAAATCACCCCGAGGCCCCCAGGACCTCAACCAAAAGCACCAACATGTCTTAAAACATCATACGAACTTGCTCCAAACATCAAAACACACCTAACAACACTAAAATCATCAATTCACATCGGATTCAAGCCTAAGTTCTTCAAGAATTTCCGTAATGCACTTTCGATCAAAACCCCGACCAAACGATGTACGAATGACCTGAAAATTTGCACACATATCCAAAATCACTTAACAAAGCTACAGCAACTCTCAGAATTCCATTCCGACCCTTATATCAAAATCTCACCTATCAACCGGAATTCGCCAAAATACTAACTTCGCCAATTCAAGCCTAATTCTACACCGGACCTCCAAAATCAATTCCGATCGCACTCCTAAGTCACAAATCATTTCCCGAAGCTAACCGAATCACCGAAAATCACATCCGAGCCTTCTAACTCATAAGTCAACGTCCGATTGACTTTTCCAATTTAAGCCTTCCTTAAAGAGACTAAGTGTCTCATTTCCTATCCAAACCAATTCAATTCAACTCTAACTCACTCGTTGCTGATAATGAAACATGAAGGAGCAATAAATGAGGAAAACAGGGCGATAATACCTGATACGACGGGTCGGGTCGTTACACCGTGAGTCTTATACTATAATAAATGTGACTCTATTTCGTATTGTTCATGCTTTATATGATGATTTCTATTATTGAACAAGGCTTGTGAAAGTATTATTGGTAATTGAACATTGTAGAGTGTCGACTCAAATTGTGAATTGAGTTGTGGAAGAATTATTGGTAATTGAACATTGTAGAGCGTTGGCTCAAGTTGTGGATTGAGTTGTGAAGTAATTGTGTAAAAGGCAGGAGGTTTATGATATTGTCTCCCTTGTCGGGATGTTATTGCTTTTGATATTATCTATTTGCCGGGATGTTATTGCTTGTGATATTGTTTCCCTTGCCAGAATATTGTTGTTATGTTATTGTTCCCTTGCCGGGATTCTATTGTGATTTTATTGATTTCCCTTGCCCGTATTCCTTTGTGATTGTTGTTTGGGTAAGGAAGAGTGTAAAAGCACGAAGGGTGATGCCGTGTATGATAATTGTGAGAGTGTTAATGCACGAAGGGTGATGCCGTGCCGATATTGTGAGGTTAAAGCACGAAGGGTGATGTCGTGCCGCACGATGTACCATGCCGTGCTCTGATATGAGTGATAATGCACGAAGGATAATTCCGTGCCATGATTATGTGAGGTAAAAGCACGAAGGGTGATGCCGTGCCAATTATATTGATTCTTATGGTGAGGACGAGAGTAAATGCACGAAGGGTGATGCCGTGCACTTGTCTTTGATTTTCCTGATTCTTGCTGATAATTGAGTTATGGTATTCTTTACATTTATTTATTGGTTTTCTGTTGTTACTTGATTTTCCCGCAACATGTTTTCCCCCCTCCTATCTTTACCTGTAAATTTCTGCCTTTACTTTTCTGTTGTATGTGAATTAACTGCACAGGTTTATTTGGTGGTCTAATCCTAGCCTCGTTACTACTTCGCCGAGGTTAGGCTAGGCACTTACCAGCACATGGGGTCGGTTGTGCTGATACTACACACTGCACTGTGTGCAGATCTCGGTGCTGCAGCTTTTGGACCACAGTGAGGTTGCTGCTTCCAGACCGTCAGGCGACCCGAGGTAGTCTTGCAGGCATTCGCAGGCCTTGGCGTCCCCTTCTATCATTTTCTTTCTATTTTTACTTATTCAGAAACAGATTCGTGTAATTCTATTCAGACCTTATTTCTAGTATTCTTAGACAGTCTGTGAGATTGTGACGCCAGTTCTGGGTAGCTTATGTTTGTGGATTGGTATCGGTATTATTATTAAATAGTTATATTTCAGTCTTCCGCTTTGTTATTTCCGATGTTTATATAATGTTAATTCACCATTGTTAAGGGATTAAAGATAAAAAGGGTTAAATAACTAGAATAATCGGCTTGCCTAGCTTTCACTAGTAGGCGCCATCACGACTCACGAGAGTGGAAAATCCGGGTCGTGACAAGGAGCTAGCAGGTAACTAGGTGAACGGTCAAGATACGTACAAAAGGATTCATACACGATCGTTACAAAAAAAAATTGTTAAATAAATTTAAGACCTCTCATTAAGGTTTGGCTATAGGCAATCATTTTCGTTGAGCCGTTTCTGACTGAAAATTATAGTGTATATACCAGGTCAAATTATTTTATGTGTATATATATATACATGTTCAACTCCTTTGGTATTGACTAGAACTCTATATATGTTTGCATAATTGCATTGAAGTTTTGTTCCCGTTCTGTCGGCAGGTTTAATTTATTACCTAAGTAAGAAGGCAAACACGAGCAAAGAGTGAAGCCAGAAAAGGAAAGGGTCAAATGTAAGGAAACTCATGTGACAAGTCTAGCCAACACTTTCATCAGTATTTTAAGTATATCCTTGTTTTTTCCTCAAATTTCAAATTCAAACAATTAATTTCACAGAAGGTCATTCAATTTGCAGTATAATTACAATAAATAAAAGTACTACTAGTATTTATTACTTTTTTGCTTTTAAATTCACCCTTAGTGAATTAATTAGAATGTTAATTAAGTGATACGTTTAATTTTTTTTTAAAAAAGTAATTCTAGAAGATACTTTATAATTGATGCTGTTTTTTAAATTTAAAAACAAAAACTCCTATACATATAGATCCGCAATAGCAGAAAATTTTGTCGATAAGACAATTACTTTACATATTTGAACTTTTTTTAATAGCGGGAAGAGAACATTAATGTTACATTAATGACCACTTAAAGTGTACTGACAGTAAGGTTGGCTATAACTTTAATGTGAAGTTACAGAAAAAGACAATTTTTGTGGGGCAACTGTCTATAACTCTGTCTCTGATTCTTTGAAGGTTTTTTCAAAAAGTTAGTCCAGTATTTACTATAGTAAACAATCAAGTTTTGTAGGAGTAGTTCTTATAAATCCCTCACCTTTTCTCAAAAGTTTTGCACTGATACTGTGGCCATTTTTGTAAAAGCAAAAGGTGTTCTCCTTAGTTTTCCTTTGGGATTTTGATGTTTTACTAATTTAAGAGTAAAATTTTCCAAAGCTATAATAGATAACAAGATGACATGTGAATCAAATGCAGATGGAAAATTGAGGTATTTCCCTCATTTCTGTATATGTACTATATGTTGATTTTCTTGATTTGTTAGTGTATTTAATAAAAATTTCCTTAGTAAGAATCCTGACTCCAACACTGATCAAGTGTCTATGTCTAAATTGCCCTTTTCTTTTTGTTTCTTTAATTTTGACACATTTATGGTTTTTTTTTTCTCAGTGAGAAGAAAATGGAAGAAGAAGATAGTTTAAGGACAGTGGAATGTCTAAGAGGGAGATTGCAAGCTGAAAGAGTGGCTTCAAGAAATGCAAAAGAAGAGGCAGAGATTATGGGAACCAAGGTTTTTATTCAATTCCTCTGTTTTTTTAAAGTTTATTCTTGAGCCGAGGGTCTTTTGGAAACAGTCTATTTATTTTCACAATGTAGGGGGTAAGGTCTATGTATACTTTATTCGGGGGCGGATTTAGGGGGACGGAAGGGGTTCACTCGAGCCCCCTTCGTTGAAAAATTACACTGTATATAAGGTAAAATCTATTTCTTACCTCTATATATATTATCTTTTGAACTCTTTACATAGCCTAAAAGCATAGCTTAGTGATCAAGGGGGTCAAAATATTTGTGAGGTCACTGAATCAATTCTTATTAGTTGCTATTTCTTTTAATTTTTTTACTTTTTTTTAACCCCCATGGCCGAAATCCTGCATCCGCCACTGCTTTACCCTTTCGAGCCCCATCATTAAATTGAGTATGTTGTTGTTGTTGTCGTTGTTGTTGTTTTTAAGTAAAAGTGCTTAAGTTGTTGGTATAAATTTAGAATAAAAATGTCTTCTTCTTTTTTTTCACTTGAAGTAACATGGTGTAAATTTTTGAAACATTACAGCTGATTGAGCTGGAGAATAAGTTGAAAGAAGAGACTAAATCAAGAAACAAAGCAGAGAAGAAGCTTAAATTTCTGATAAAGAAGCTTGAATCCAAGAACATATATTATGTTTCAGATGAATCAGAGAATTCAAGCTTTTTAAAGAGTGAAATTTCATCTCTAATATCCACAGCTTGTAGCAGTGCCAAACAATCAGAAGATAGAGAGTGTCAAGAATCAGTTGGGAGTACAAAATCCAGCTATGAAAATCTTAATTGTTCAGAGCTCATTCAGAAGAGAAAATCTGAAGAAAAAACAGTCAATTTAGAGAAAGATGGTTCACAAATGAGCATTTCTAGTCAAGATATTGAGAATCCTTCAGCAAAAGAACATTCTGCTAAATCAAGTGAATTTGAATTCTCAAAGACAGATCCCAATAGGTATGTATACTCGATAGGTTTAATTTATATACAGTGATAGTATAATTGATAGAAGGGGAGCCTTGGCGTAGCTGATAAAGTTGTTGTCATGTGATCAGTAGGTCACGCGTTCGAGCCGTGGAAACAGTCTTTTGAAGAAATGCAGGATAAGGCTGCGTACGATAGACCTTTGTGGTCCGGCCTGTCCCCGGACCCGCGCATAGCGGGAGCTTAGTGCACCGCGCTACCCTTTTTTTTTTTTTTACAGTGATAGTATAATTGAGCCGAGTGTCTTTCGGAAACAATCTCTCTACCTGCTTCAGGTAGGGGTAAGGTTGCATATACCCTACCCTCCTGAGACTGTACTTGTGGGAATACACTAGGTATTATGTTGTTGTTGTTGTACAGTGACAGTATAATTGAGTCGAGTGTCTTCCGGAAACAGCCTCTCTACCTACTTCAGGTAGGGGTAAGGCTGTACATGTTATTACACTGTATTTGTAAAATAAATTCTGGAAATATAAATGAATATAAACAGTAATGAATATAAACAGAAATGACATAAACCAATTCGAGCCCACTGAATTCACAGTGTTTCCTTAAGGAATTTAATCCCCTCCTAGTACCCAAGGTTATGGATTATTTCCTCCCAGGATAGAACGAATTACACACTGGTGTAGTGGTACTTCAAACCCCAGTGTTTCAGCGAACACAAAGTTCGGTAGCAAATCACACTTACTTTTTGCTTTGTTTTGATGCTAAAAGTATGCAGAAGAAGGAGAGAAAACTCAGAAAATTGTAGTTAAAATTCTGAGCAGAATAGTGTTGTATTTATAGCCAAAGTTGGGTCTCTTCAGAATGGCTGTTTATGCAAAACGCCCACAACATAAATGCCATTACATAAATGGCCATTTACTCAATAATAAAGAGGGAAAATAAAGAGGGAAAATTGAAGAGGGTAGTTACTTTTCTGTTACCAAAACAGAAAAACGGATTGGATTTAATATTAATATTTAATATTAATATTTTGTTATTAAAACAAATATTTAATAACATTTCTGTTAATATTTTACTATTAACAAATAAATTTGGTCCAAAAAGTTAATCAATCAATCGTTTGACCAAATCCGAATCCGAATCCGAATCCGAATCCGAATCCGAATCCGAATCCGAAGCCGTAGCCGTAGCCGTAGCCGTAGCCGTAGCCGAAGCCGAAGCCGAGCCGAGCGAGCGACGACGACGACGGCGCGAGGCTTGCCTTCTTCTCAACTCTTTAAGAGCTAGAAGAAGAGCAATTGCTTATATACCCATAAAAAACCTCTTCCTCTTCCAATATGGGACAATGCCCATTTGCCAAGGGAGGGGGAACTTAAAATTTCACTCAAAAATTTTATTTCCCTCCATTTCCCATTCACCCTCTTTTAAGTATTTAATATATTAATTAAATACCTTAAAAACCCAACAATCCCCCACATGAATGGGGAATGGCTATATCACGGAAGTATGCATGAAAACTGTGTGATTCACAAGTAAGGATTAATTGCATCTGGATAAGTAGGTTTCCCTTTGAACTTTCCGTAGTGAACTTATGTCGGATATACTCGATCAATCGGTAGATTTGATATCTTTGAACCGTCGAACTTTAGTGTATACCTAGACAACCACAAGTCACACAACCAACCCTTAACCGTCTTTGGTTCTCATTGTTGTGTTCGTTTCAGCCATGAACACCGCCTGGTTTCATAAGTGCGTAGAGAACTGGCCTTGCTGTGTTCTCCTTGAAGCGGCTAACACTTCACACTTACATAGGTGATTCCTAAACGTGTCATCCCGTAGATACACTATTTGATATACCCTGTATCAAATTTAGAAATCATTAAAAAGCCTTAATGCTTTATCCCTGGTAGTGAACATTGTCTCATCACGAGAATGGACCAAAAGTTTAGTTGACAATGTTGAACCGTCATAAATGACTTTGTTTGATCTCCTTGAACCTAGATCTTGGGATCTCCAGTCTTCTAGGTAGAGTTACCGCCACTATGACTTGTTCTCGGCCACAGTCCCATTCCCTTTGATGACTTCTCAACTACCTCTCTAGTTAGGCCTTTTGTAAGTGGATCCGACACATTATCACTTGACTTTACATAGTCAATCGTGATAATTCCTCTAGAGAGTAATTGTCTAACGGTTTATGTCTTCGTCGTATATGGCGAGACTACGTTATACATAACGCTCCCAGCCCCTTCCAATTGCCGCTTGACTATCACAATGTATGCATATTGGTGCCAACGTTGGGCCAAAATGAATATTCTTCCAAAAATTCCGGAGCCATTCAGCTTCTTCACCGGCTTTATCCAAGGCTATGAACTCAGCCTCCATTGTAGAGCGGCAATACAATGTTGTTGGATGACTTCCAAGATACCGCTCCTCCACCAATAGTGAATCATATCCACTTGTGGACTTGGAATCAGTTGATTCCGGTGATCCAATTGCATCACAGTATCCTCAATGACCGCAGGATATTTATAGTAATGCAAAAGCAAAATTCCTGGTATGTACTAAATACCCCAAAACTCGTTTCATGGCCATTCCAATGGGATTGGCCTGGATTGCTCGTATATCGACTCAATTTACTTATAGCACAAGCTATATCTGGTCGTGTACAAATTCATGATGTACATTAAGCAACCCAACACACGAGCCTAATCCAATTGTGATATGCTCTGGCCTTTGTTCTTTGCTAATGCAAGATTCACAATCAATTGGGAGTTTTGCAATTTTTAAAGCCCAAGTGCTTGAATTTTTCAAGTACTGTCTTAATATAATGAGATTGTGACAATGCTAGACCTTGAGAAGTCTTATGGATTTCTTAATTTCCAGAAAAATCAGCAACTCCCAAGTCTTTCATTATCAAACTTGCTAGTTAGCATACGCTTAGTAAGCATTTTATGTTAGCAATGTCATTACTCATTATGAGCATATCATCCACATATAAGCAAACAAATGACTATGTGATTTTGGAACATTTTAATGTACACACATTTATCACATTCATTTATCTTAAATCCATTTGACACATTGTTTGGTCAAATTTTAGCCATGCCATTGTTTGGGTGCTTGTTTTAATCCGTAAAGGGACTTAACAAGTCTACAGACCTTCTTTTTCTTTACCTGGAACCACAAACCCTCAGGTTGTTCCATGTAAATTTCTTCCTCCAACTCTCCATTTTAAGAAGGCCGTCTTAACATCCATTTGATTGATTTCAAGACCATAAACTGCCAGCTAACAGCTACTAACGTTCGTATGGATGTAATTCCTGTAACTGGAAGTATGTATCAAAGTAGTCAAGACCTTCTCGTTGTTTTTTCCCTATTACCTTTGACCACAAGTCTTGCCTTTATTGTCAATAGTACCATCATCTTTTATTTCCTCTCTAAAGATCCATTTAGAACCAACGGTTTATTTCCAGGAGGAAGATCAACCAATTCTCATGTATGGTTGTTCAGTATGGATTCTATTTCAACTATTGACCGCCTCTTCCATAACAATGTTCCGAAGAAGACATAGCTTCTTTAAATGTTTGAGGCTCATTTTTCAATAAGAAAGTCACAAAATCTGGTCCAAATGAAGTAGACGTTCTTTGACGTTTACTACGTCTTGGATCCTCTTGGTTAAGTGTACTTTCTTTTGTTTCTTCCCGGGGTCGTTTAGATCCTTCACCAATCGACTCACATTCCTTTTATACGGAATATATTTTCAAAGAACTCACATTATCTGATTCTATTAACCGTATTATTATGAATGTTGGGATTTTCTGATTTTATGAACCAGAAATCGATATGCTTTACTATTAGTCGCATATCCTATTTGAAAACACAATCAACGGTTTTCGGTCCTATTTTACCCTTTTGGGTTTAGGAACTTGCACTTTTGCCAAACACCCCCACACTTTAAAATAATTCAAGTTGGGCTTCCTTCCTTTCCATTTTTCATATGGATGGATTGTTGTTTTTGCTATGGGTACTCGATTTAGTATTCGACTAGCCGTAAGAATGGCTTTCCCCCACAAGTTCTGTGGCAAACCAGAACTTATCAATAATGCGTTCATCATCTCCTTTAATGAACGATTCTTTCTTCTGCAATCCCATTGGATGGTGGCGTGTAAGGCCGTTGTTTGATAAATAATTTCCATATTTCTTAACATTATTTGTTCAAAAGGAGATTCATATTCACCACCCCTATCACTTCTTATCATTTTGATTTTCTTATTAAAGTTGCGTTTCAACTTCATTTTTGTATTGCTTGATATGCCGTCTATTGCTTCATCTTTACTATTAAAGTTAAGTAAACATCAGCAATATCGAGTACTATCGTCAATAAAAATTATGGAAATACTTTTTCCACCGCGAGATGGTATTGACTTCATGTCACAAATATCTGTGTGAATTAAGTCTAAAGGATTTGAATTCCTTTTCAACCGACTATAAGGATGTTTAACATACTTAGATTCCACACATACTTGACATTTTGATTTGTCACATTCAAAAACTTGGGCAATACTTCAAATTAATCATCTTTCCGTAAGGGTTATTAATTGACATACCCAAACGTACATGCTATAAATTCATTTGACTCAAGTAAGTTAGACGAAGCTGAAATTTTATTATTTTTTTCAACAACCATTACATTCAGCTTGAAAAGGCCCTCAATGAGGTAACCTTTTTCCTTACAAAACATTTCATTCTACTTATTACAACCTTATCGCGAAACAAAAACACATTTAAAACCCATCCTTAACAAGAAAGTCCAGTAGAGACTAAATTCTTCCTAATCTCGGGAACATGAAGGACGTTGTTCAAAGTCACCACTTGCCGGAAGTCATTTTGAGAAATATCTTCCCACATCCTCTCAATCTTCGCCTTTGAAGCATTCCCATAGAAATCGTCTCATCGGGTCCAAACAGAGAGCATAAGAAGCAAAAGCTTCTCTAACAGCACAAACATGGCGAGTGGCTCCAAATCAATCCACCACTCTTTAGGATTGCCCACCAAGTTGCATTCGGAAATCATGGCACATAAATCATCAACATCATCACGCTTTTCAACCATGTTTGCTGACCCTTCTCTTGTCTTTCTTTGGAGCACGACACTCCGTAGATTTTGTTCCAGTTTTCCCACAGTTGTAGCAGTTTCCACTGAACCGCTTCTTGCTTGGGTTGTATTTCGGTCCAGAAGCCTTTCTTTCTCTTTTTGTTCTCTTCAACAATATTTGCTCCCATTATTGTTGAATTTCCACGGCCTCTCTTTTCCGCAGCTTTGTTGTCCTCTTCGATTCTCAACCGAACAATGAGATCTTCAAGGGACATCTCCTTGCGTTTCTGGTTTCAAGTAATTTTTGAAGTCCTTCCACCAAAGGAGGCAACTTCCTCAATCATCGCTGCTACTTGAA